AACGGTCTTACTACTCTATAGATCTCGATTGCATGATATTTTCGACATTTATTAGTATTTTATTTTTGTATGACATTTTTTGTCCATCTAGAATTATGTACATCTATTTTTATTTTCAATTGTACGATATAGTTTAAATCTTCATCTGAACATAGATAAACAACATATAACATGAAAGACCTATTATGATACGTTACAGAGATGTATCTCCGGAATATTTACGAAGATGCATCTCCGGTACAATTCAAATGTAAATGACTTCTAAGTAGGATATATTAAATGTTTTAAATTGTTTTGGAGATGCATCTCGGAATATTTCAACGTTTATTCAGAAATTGATGCGTCTGGAGATGCATCTCTACAAACTTGAGACGTTTAAATAATTTTGTGTAGTAGTTAAGTATTAAGGGTGCATTAAGAAATTCTCAACATCTTAAAATGGTTTCAGATTCTATAATCCAAAAGAGCCTTTTACAACATTAAAGTTGATGTTTTTGATAATAACACCTTTAAATCATACCAACATAAACAATAACTTAAAATGACTTTAAAAAATTAACCAAAAATATCCAAAATATTAAATAGTGTAATATTTAAACTAGAATACAGTATAATGTTGTAAATAAAATACAATCTAATCCAAATCAAACGATCTTAAAAATAATAGTTTGTATTGGGTCGCACGGAAATTACTAATCCTTTTTTTTCATCTTCTTTACTTACTATGCATTTTTTACTTCCCTTAAAATATCTTGAACAATGGTAGATATTGTAACGCCCCAGATTTTCATCAGGGACATTTTTCAGAAGTTATTAAAAATACATTATTTAAATTTAAAAAATCACATTTTTAAAAGTAAATGGAAATTTTAAGTAATATCTTGAGTAAAAATATGGGATGTTACATATATTAGTATCCTCTTGAACTGTCCCACAAAATAGTAAGCAGGTGGTCAAGTCTCATATAAGCGCATACAAGGACCAGACTACCCAAAATTCCACCTTACTCTATCTTTTCTATAAGGACTTTCTCCTCAGACTACCCAAAATTTCACCTTACTCTGTCTTTTCTATAAGGACTTTCTCCTAAGTTGGTTGAGAAACTGTACATAGATATATGATGGGAGTCAAAATATTTTTCGATCAAATAGCTCAAGTGGTTGAAATCTATCATTTAAAAATAAATAATTGAGATATTGTGAGTTTGAATTTGCGTCTCTATATTTTGTATCTGATATCTTCGTACAATTATCAATGAAATTCTCTCTACACTATCCATCTTGAAATGACAGTTATGCCCCCAACGGAATTTTAACACTTTAGAGCGCGCAAACACTAATTTCAAGTAATCTTTAAGAAGTTTAACCGAATCAGTTACATTTTCAGTTTTCAGTTAAGCCACTGTTCTCTCTCTCCCTCTTTTCTCTCTCCTCTCTCTCTGTCTGCATTGAGCTCTGTTCTGTGCATGGAAGCAACACGTGAGACTGAGATTTCCACAAACGAAGATCAAAGCTGGCATCTTTTCCACCATCAAGAACGGCTCGCAATGTCTTTCTCTCTCACCGACGGTTGCAAGAAGAGAAAACGGTGGCCCAAGATTTTCCGGCTACAATCCTTCGCAGACCCTGGGTGTCCGATTTCACCTTCAGGCCCTTTCCGTGAAAACGTTCGGTTCTTTCTTCAAGAAGCTGGTGAACCCGAAGATTACACGGTTTTGGGTAATCCTCTTTGGTCCACGTTTCTCATTCATGATAAGAGTAACCTAATGGCCCCTTTCTATACTCTTGAAGAAGAAGTTTATAACTCTTCTCATCCCTTCTGTGATCATTGCCGTTGTGTAGGTTCGTTTTCAATTTTCAATCTTTATCTCTTGGGGTTTGCTCTGTTAGGGATTCTTGAAATGGGTCCGTTCAGTTCTGCATGAAATTTGTTTTTTTTTTTCTTTCTGAATTGAATTTTGCGTATTTTTATATTCTGGAAATGAGTAGGTTCTGTTTTGCAATGATTTTGAATTGCTTATTTGTTTTCTCAATCTGTTATGCATGAATTTTGATTATGACGCAAGCTGATATGTGTTGTTTCCCAAATGCCAATTTTTGTTTTTCTTTTTCTTTCTACTATTAGGTAAATTTAAGTGGTGATTTGTGTGAGAAAAGGGTTAGTTTGAAGTGTATGATCTGTTATTAATTATGAAACTGAAATGGGGTTTTGGTGATATTGATATTGATGGTGTATGGGGTTTGGTTTATAATTGATAGGTTGGAGTGGTCATTTTGTATCGAAGAGAAGGTACCATTTTATAATTCCGATGGACAATGCGTGGCATAAACCGTTAAACGAAGAAGCTCTAGATAATCAAAGTCATCTGTTACATGGTGTGATTCATTGCAATGGTTATGGCCATTTGGTATGTCTTAATGGCATTGAAGGTGGTTCCAAATTTCTCAGTGGGAGAGAGATAATGGATCTATGGGACAGAATTTGTAGCAATCTTAGAGCAAGGTAATAGAAATAGTACTAGTTATAGTTACATATTTCTTGCATTCATGAGTCAATGTTTTATTTGGCCTTTTTTTTTTAATTCAGGCAAATTGCAGTAGAAGATGCTTCAAGGAAAAGGTCAATGGATCTTCGATTATTACATGGAGTTGCTTATGGACATTCTTGGTTTGGTAGATGGGGCTATAGGTTTTGTCGCGGAAGCTTTGGCGCAACAGAACAAAACTACTATGAAGCAATTGAAACTCTTGGTTCGTTAGTTCTTGACGAGATTGCTAGAGATTTAAGTAAGACAAAGTGCCATAAAGATATAAAACAGATGATTCGTTTCTATAGAGATATGAGTGAAACACAAATCATCACAATTAGAGAGCTTCTCAGATTCATGCTCACTGTCAAGTCTCGTCGACCCGTGTCAAAGATAACAATCACTTGTTCTTCTGGTTCTAATTCTACTTCTGCTTCACCTTCTTATTCTACTACAACATTTCTGTCAAGAAATTCGACCAAACATGCACTTTCATGTAGTAGATCAGATTCCATGAGTAAGGAAAAATCAGCAAGGTATAAGAAATTCAGCACAGCAGTGGTGAATATGGATAGTAGATGGCCAACAAGGAGACTAGAGTTTGCAGCTCAAGTGATTGTTGATGCATTGAAAGAAGACAAAGCTACGAAATCAGGATCTAGTGGAATGACAAGACAAGATGTGAGGGATGCAGCTAGGCTTCACATTGGTGACACGGGTTTACTTGATTATGTGCTGAAATCATTGAACAATGTGATTGTTGGAAACTACGTTGTTCGCCGCATGGTTAACCCTTCATCAAGGATCCTTGAGTATACCATTCATGAGCTTGGGAAAGGGTTCAAGGCACCTGAAGTGGAGCATGGAGTAATGACAGTTGCGGATAATCCTCAAGTAGATTCATCACCGTCATTGTCATCAGCTTCGTCTTTAACTCCTGGTAATGATGTTTACAGCGATGTAGTTTACCTCTACAAGAACGTGTTGTTGGGCTATCCAGAATCAGAGGCGGTGGAATTAGCCGTTCAAACAATTCTTGACTGCAGACACTTTGTGAAAGAGTGGGAATTGAGAGATGAAATGGAACAGGTTCTGACATTTATTTGCCGTCTGAAGCCGAATTTCGTCGAGAATAAAGATGATTTAAAAGGGCCAACTTGTGGTGAGATTGTAACTGTTCCATTGCATGCCACTGTTAGAGACTTGAAACAAGCTGCTGAGGCTGCTTTAAGGGACACTTATTGCATAGCTGAAAGACTTATAGTGACAGATATAAAAGAACTGATGGGTGTGGATGATAGCGAAGTGATTTTCGGATTGATTGAATCAGGTGTGAAGCTTTGTATTAGAGGAATTAGTATAGACTTGTGTACACCATTGAAATATCAAGGAGGGTCTGATAACTGGAAGGTGAGGTGTGAGTGTGGAGCACAGGATGATGATGGTGAGAGAATGGTGGCTTGTGATATTTGTGAGGTGTGGCAGCATACAAGATGTTGTGGAATAGATGATACTGAGACTGTTCCACCATTGTTTGTGTGTACTGGATGCTGTGATTCACTTGTGCCACCAAGGATTGAATCTAGAAGCTATGATATGGTGGATTGTGCTGATGCATTTCTGATTTTACCTGAGCCTACTCATTTGCTTGAGTATGGTTATGGGTACTGAATGTTATACACTGATGTAAACTGTTGAGCAAAACCTTGTTGGATTATACAATTGTTAATACAATTCTTTTGAAATGTTAATTTTTGATAGGGGATTAAATGTTTTAATGTTCATTCTTCTTCTTTTTTTGGCAAAATGTATAGTACTCTGTTTTCATTTGAGAGAAAGAGCTTGATATTAAGATGTAACTGAAATTGAGGCAAAGCATCTGTGAACTTGAGTAAATTTATTGCAAATATTAACCTTAGGTATTCACTTCCAAATTGTTTTCTATGCAAATGATAAGTTTTAAACAATGACGAAACGGAACTCATATTCAGAAAAATCCACAGCAACTTCAACATCTCATAACTTTGAAATGAGCTGTTAAGAACCGATGTTAGACAGATCCTCAATCCACTCTGTATATGCTCAAATGTAACAAAATACACACCTTCAGAAGCACCATTCCTTTAAACCCTTTGCATTTCAATGGTTGAATTGAAAATCTACAATATTTTACTAGAAATTTCGAAGAAAAAAATTATGAAAATATCATAAGCTGTTTTAATTAAATCTCCCAAACAGTGACAACTTATTCAGTAGATAAGTTCAAATAAGCCCATCCAGACAGGTCCGTAGGCCCATAGTACCAAGAGATAATAAGGAAGTTCAAGGTATACAATAAAATAACAATCCAAAATATTTCTAATCTTCAAAATATCATGACTAATAGATTCACCATCTATATGAACTTTATTAAGCATCTTCTTTAAGTTCGATAACTGAAATCATCAAAGGATTGGTGACACGCTTAAGGTTCCTAAAATAATGGAGCTCTGTGAGGTGTTCCTTTCCGTTTCCTTTTTCGCTTAGAAGGCTCAGAAAATTCCACCCGTGATTCATGAGAAGGAGCTTGGATGGAACTGATGGAAGGAACTGAATCATCAGATTTTCTTGAAACAGCTTTTACCTGAAAGATCAAATAAAAAAGATCAGACAATAACAACTAAATGTCAGAAGTGTATTGAAATGGAAACAATAAATGTTGTGGTCATCAAATTGTTGTCATCACCATGCAAGCAATGGAGCAGTACTGATACGACTGGGCTTCTTTCGACTTTCTACTGATGTTGCATGATGCCACATCATCAAATGTTGATCCACAAAGTGGAAGACGATTCAAAACCAGCTTTTTGTTGCATTTGAAGGGCTGCGATCAAAGAAGAATCAAATAGACACGGCAAAAAACATTAACTGCAACAGGAAGAAATAATGCTTTAAATCAATTTACATCTATGCTTTCGTGTTACATTTCATGAGACACAATAGAGACTTGCAATGATTTTTTACAACTTCTCTTAGTGAATTAAAAACCTATGATTAGCAAACAAAGTCACAAAGAAGTACACAACTTAGTAGTGAATCACATGAGTATTGATTGCGCTGCTTAAGTTTTTTATTCACAAATTTATGGTTAAGGTAAGATATAAATATAATATAATACCTGGATTTTTGAGCAGTCGATATAAGTTTCCAGAGCAGCAAGACAGACAACATCCTTGTAAACATTTCTGAAAACTTGAAGTATCTGATGATTTTGATGATGCCCTGAGGACAGACAACACTTACAAGCAGATACTTTGCAGTTTATACAGTAAATATTCAACTTATTCCTTGAATTCAAATGAGAAGAACACGGTTCAAAGAACTTTTTCTCCAAAAAATCGTCAAGCCACCTTGGCTGGTGAGCTTCACTTTGAACCTTTTGCTCATCCTACAAATGAAATCGTGTTACGAAATTCAATACTAAAAGTTGCAGAAAAACATAAAATCATCACATCATTGATCATGACTTTGTTAATTACTTCACTTTCAGCATATATTCTTTCTCAATTTTGATTTTCTCCAGCTGTCGCATACAATTATATGCATACCAAAATCGAAAACATGTTCTACACTCTTTATTCCTTTTTGGTGCCCTATTAACTCCCATCGCCATTACGATACAAAACTCAATACATATCACAAACAAAGCTGATTTATTACTTCCAAAGGCTACGTGTTTCATCTAATAATAACACAAATGCTCCAAATATCTTTTCATTATGATACAAAACTCAATACATATGTCTTTTCATTGCTTAGTTCCCCTTATTCAAAACAAAACTAGTTTTTGTGATAAAGACAATTTAGCAAACAGAACCAACATGATGGAAAGATGAGTGAAAACAGTGTGATGAAACAAAAAAATCATAATACAGATCAGATTGAATGTAATCATATAATAAGGATGCTTAATTGCAAAATTCTTTCGGTTTATGCCAGAGAGAACATATTTCCTATTCACATGCAACGAAATAAAGAACATAACCAAAATGAAAGAGCTTATCGATATCAACATGACAACTAATCTTCTCACAAAATACTATGTAACTTTGTGATCAAGGAAATAAAGATTGATCTGAAAACCAAAGAGGAGTTGTTAAATATTTGCTGAATTTAACATAAAAAATTACACATGCGAAAAATATTTAGTCAACTACCTCATTCATTTTTCTGGTTGAAAAAGAGCTCAGCATTCCTTTCTTGCAGATTTAAAATTGGAAAAAAGTTTGAAATTTCGCAATCAAAAGATTACGAAGGAGAATTTCTAGATTCAATTGGGTGATCTGACTGACGGCAAAACACCCGCAGAAAAGGGGAGAAAGGGGTAACCCTAGAAAGCAGACGTTTTGAAACGAGGCTCATTTTCTGATCATAAAAGAGTTTATATACTTGGTACTGAAAATAAAATAAACTCGAGAAAGACTAATTGACGAAACCGAAGCGTTTCTTCTCAATTCCTTTTCATAGTTGACAATTTGCAGTCTCGTATTAAAAAACCAATTGTCATTTGACGGGTTCCGTTTCATTTTCACGACCACGATTATTTTCCTTATCAAGAAAAATGCTAAGTTATACATTTGAATTTGAATGTAACTGCCAAATGTAACAATTGGCAAAATCACATTGGGACTTACTTTTGGTTTTCTTAGCGAATTTCTAATTTAACAAATGAGCCCAATGAAAAAGATGTCTTATATATCGAAAATATAATTCTACATACACTCTAAAGTTCAATATTTTAATTTTATTATTGCGGTCCATGGTGGAGATCCAAAATTCCGCAATAACGTCTGCCATATGGCACCACCATCCTTCACATATTTGACCATGGCAGAGAGCCTAAAACCTGCCACCAACATGGCTGATATTTGACAACACTATTAGAGAACGGAAGAAATGAAATGGGTTTCTCAATCTCTAAGCATCGCAACCCCGAATATCTATAGGCAAATTTTCCATTTTTGGCAAGACCTTGAAGTGAAATTCCAATTAAGTGTCAATCATTTAATCAACTACTTCTACATGAGATTCTTCCCTAAATAGCATCCACGGAAGATTGCACCTATATGAACTTACAACAATAAGAATTGAAATTCCAATTATGTTTTAGTAGTTTTTCTTAGTTTTGTCCTTGCAATTGAACATTCATGCACCAAATCTGGCACTATTAACCAACTTATGCTTTCAGGTAATAAGAATTGAACAAAGATGCAACAAACTAACATTACAATATGAATGAAATAGATTTCTCAACCTCAAACCATCACAACCTCAAATATGAATATCTACTAGGCCGTCTTCGAAGGCGTACAAGACGGACTACTACACAGGGCCTCAAATTTGTCAGGGTTAAACTATAGTTAAATAGGACCTCTATTTATTTTACTCTTATTATACTGTGACTAACCTACACGCGGCCTTCAAAAACGCGAGACAGCTCAGAAAATCTACATGCAAATTTTCTATTTTTGGCAAAACCTAGAATTGAAATTCCAATAAACCCTCAATCACTTAACCAACTACAACTACATGAAATTCTCCCCTAAATAGTATCCATGGTAGATTGCACCAATATGAATTCAAACAGCAATAATATTGTTCATGTTTTAGTAGGTGCTCTTGCAATTAAACATTCATATACAAAATCAAGCACTATTAAAACACCTAAGCATTCAGGTAATAGGAATTAAAACATATATGCAACAAACTACGATTAGAAATACAATTTTACCTAGCCATAATCAAAGCGAAAGAGTGAATTTTGTTGAGAACCGCAAATGTATGGAGGAAGCAACGATGGTGGGTGATCCCATTGATAGCAGTGATTTCTCGATTGAAGAATAAAGCGAAGGAAAAAGGATAAGTTTGAATGATTAGGGATTTCTAGGTTGGGTTCATAGCTGTTGTTTCAGTAAATAATTACCCAAATTAAATTTAGGTTAAAAAAAAGTGTTTTTGAAATTCAAAAGATATTTAGGATTTTGGTTTGATAATGTTTTTTTAAAGGAACCCTAATTTAGTGTTTATTTGGTGAATTTTTTTTTTCAAATAACCTGTTTTTCCAAAAAAAAATTACATATATAATATGGATTTAAAAAAAAAATTAAAATGGCACACTTTCAACATGCATGTGCCATTTGAAATGTCTCATGTATTGAAAGAGAAATCAAGTCGTCATATGAAATGGTTGATCCTAAACCGAGTCGTCATTTAAAATGGCGCCACCTTGTATGGATACCCTGAAAAATCTGATCATGCAGAGGAGGCGTCATACCATATGGCGTCTCAGGTATCCTATTTTTTTTTTAATTAATATTGTGTTGTAAAAGAAATAATTAAATGAAAAAATAAATTATAATATTTGTAATATAAAAAAGCGAAAATAGTATGCAACAGATGGAAAAAAAAATCAATGACCGGCCCTATCAAAAGGACCACCGGTTCCACATTGTAGAGAATTCGCGCTGCGTCGAGGTCTACCACGAGCTTGTTGAGGTGTATGTGGCATTTGCGTGTTGACTTATGAAAGAGGTATTTGTTGAGATGGTTCCAGCGTATCAGATGAATTTTGAAGCATCTGAACCCAGTAGCCAGGGGCTGCTGCCAACGGCGCTTCCGTAATTCAGTTGCATGCGCATGTTTTCGTAGTTGGGGCGGGCAGGTTAGGTTGGGTGTGGACGGTATGGTTGGCCGAATTGGTACAACGAATCGGTTTGGAAACGATGCAATGGTTGTTGTGGGGTTTGGTAGTAAAAAAATGGGTAGGTATTTTGATGGTAGGAAGATTGTGTGTTCATTCGTGGGGGGCTATAGTTGGATGGGTTGGAGTCAAAAGAGTTATCAAGGCTATAGGCAGAAGTGGTGTCGATTTCAAGAGGCTAGCGGTAGGGGTAAGGCTCTTGTTGTTGTGGTTAGGTTGGTGCCATGTATGGGTTGCGGTTTTGGAAGATTGGTTGGGTGGGCATAGTTTGCTGTTAGGTATAACATGGTGCTTGATGTTGGGCATTGGATTGTTGTTGTGTGTTTGAGGAAGAAGCACATTGTCGTGGGTCAATCAAATATGTCGGCTCAGACACAAATTGTTGTGATGTTGTAACCGACCTAAACCAAATCATATATTGATAACTTGGTTTAGCCTCTTCCACAGTAGGGTCGGTTAAGATGTGTCGATGTCGGTTCTTTCAATACATACACATCTCTTTTCCAAAGTCTTTCCAATGATTTACACTTCATTGTGTATCCACCCTAAGTTGATGTCAGTATTCCAAAGACGTCGGAGCGACTGGAATATCCTGATGCATGCCGAACTGCAGTTTCACCCGATCACTTTGGTGCATCTCCACTGTAGTGAATCGAATCATAGGTGCTTTAGTTGTCTACACGGCAGCATCATTGGCGTTGGGCTGATGGTCGGGACCCTCGTACGGCATCCAGACAAACTACATTAACAATAGATTTAATGAAAAAAAATAAGGATGTGTTATTAAATAGGCAAAGTAATGGTACATTATTGGTAGATAAATTACATCGTCTGGCTCAATGTGTTTTATAAGGTTGCGGTAGACGATTATTGAGTTCCTGAGACATCTTTGGTAATTTGTTCTCGGAACAGACCACCTAAAAAAAGCGACACAAATAAATTAGTTACAAAGGAACATTTCACAAATAAATTAGTTAGAGCAACTTTAGCGCATGGTTGTTAAACCAAAATGTTGTATAGCTTACGTTAGTGATAAAGAATTTGCATTATAGTAGAGCTGACATGGCATTTAGTGAACTAAAGTTTAGTTTCCATTATCTATATAGTTAACGTTAACTATTCAATGTGAAACATATTATAATATTATTTAATATTAATAAAATATTCCAACAGCATTAAATTAATGGTAATTTGAATAAAAAATATAAAATGTGGGGTCAAGTTTTAGTTTCTTATAGACAACCATCATTAAAGTAAAAACTACTCAAATCAACTATAAATTTTTTAAATCCTACAAAACACTTTGGGCCCACAAAAAATATCTTAGTTTACCCCTTTAGTTTACTCCCATTAAAGATGCTCTTACAAAGAAACATCGTTGGTATACACGTTTTGATTTTTAAAAATAAACTTGTTAGCGTAGGGGAATATGCATGGATTCCGGTTGATAGGAGTCAGTGTTGGCATTCTATACCAACCCCATGCTTGAAGGAGATAGGCGCAGCCATAAAAAGTACAAGAATTTTTTTTTTGAATTTTTACATAATGAACTATATAGATGGGCGAGGACAGTTGAACCCCAACTATATGTGCACACTTTATTAATGTTGTGCAACAATGGTAAACACATAATATTTACACTATTTCCAGTACTTTCTGGAAATAAAAAATGACCAAATAATATCATAATATAGCCCAGAGTTTTAAGTATCTTCTCATACTCGGTGGATTCCTCGTTTAACACGATACTATTGTAGTGTTCTCTTAGGTATTTCAAATTAATACCTTCGCCCATCGGTCGACCTTCACGTTGTGGCTGAGGTGTTTCGACACATAGAGGGGTGTCCAGTAAATCTTCACAAAGTTGGTCATTAACACCAACTTTGCCGTTGACGGCCTTACCATTGATGTGTAGGTCAAGTAACATGTAGACATCTTGTAAAGTGACAGTGCATTCACCGAAAGGAAGGTGAAATGTGTGGATCTTTAGTCTCTAACGTTCCAGCAACGCTAGAATAAATTTGGGGTCCAGTGAGTACGATTTAATTTTTATTAAATCACCATTACCCACATGAATATAGGTATCCTTCTATGAATGGATCGTGTGGTATGTAGTCATGCACACGACAGTGAAACCTTGATACATTCTTCCAAAGAATATAAATAGTATTAGTTTTAAAGAAAAATTCAACTTATTAAGGAATGACAAAAAAAAAATAAAGCAAAATACTTACAAACTCTGTGGTGTTCTCAATTGTTCCTATGTGATTTTTGCTTATTGTGAGTAAAGTTTGATGAGTGATGAGAAGAGTTTGCTGAAAGTTTGATGAGTAGAGTTCGTAATGTGATTAGAAGAGTTTGTACCTTGATGAACATGTATTTATAATGGTTAAATGTGATGTGAGGAGTCACATAAAAATGCATGCTGAAACATGATGACAATGATGCAAGGAAGCGCACAAGTGT